TTTAAACAAGAAACGTCTCATTGAAATATTAAAATTAAAATTAGAAACTGCAAACTTTATGATCAAACAAGCCACAGAGGATGCCGTTACGTTAATAATTAATGCTTCAATTAACATTTCCACTATGCTTGATTCTGTGATAGTTATTATATATATATATATATATATATATATATATATATATATACGATTATGTTGATCTTCTTATCCTCTTGACGGCTCTACCGTTCAAATATATATTTACTAAAACCGGGAAAAGGAAAAATTTTGCAACAATTATATTCTGCAAGTAGCCTAATAGATAAAACAGCCGCAGATCATATATTGTTTTTGCACGCCTTTAGTGGCTGCGATACAACTTCAGCAGTTTTTGATCAAGGTAAAATCAAATATATAAATACACTATGAAATAATCAAAGTCTAAATGATGTCATCCATATATTTAAAAATCCAAATGCTGATCCAGAGATCATTGCCACAGTTTGTAGAAAGCTTCCTTCTTAAATTGTACGGTTGTAGTGATGAGAATACCATAAAAATACATCTTTAAACGTCTTCAGATATGCGTGCTTTACAAAATCGACATACAAAATTAAATTTAATATGCCATCATTACTACCAACGGAGGCAGCAGCACGACAACACTTATTCCGAACATATCTCCAAGTTCAGCAGTGGTATGGAAATGAGGTAAATGCAGAACAATGGGGATGGAATAGAAGCAAAAATGGCCTGATTCCTCAGACCTCACTTGAGTCCCCAGCTCCGGACACCTTGTTAAAACTGATTTCTTGGCAATCTATACAGGTGCATTACTTCTGTCCTTAATCCTTAGTCACAGGTAGTGTGGTATACCAATCTAATTGTTGCGTTTGCTCCTGGATGTGGCGAAGCATGTATGCAATTAAATATGATACAGCAGAGTCTTGATAATGTCACCGAGGGAATGTGTGAATTACATTGGCGTTCTCAAGTTGAGATAAATATTTAAGAAACGGTTGGTAATTAACAGCCGTTGTGCATTTGCTCTGAAGTGGCCTGTGTGTGCGTTTGAATATGCCTGTGTGGTGTACCTTATCTTATATATAAAAATGGATCGCAAAATGTGTTGGTAAGCGCATAACTCAAACAACGCCTGGACCAATTTGGCCAAATCTTTTTTTAAAATGTTCGTTGAAGTCCAAGGATGGTTCTTACGGCGAGCAAAAATCGAATAATTGCCGGGAAACCCCTAAAAACAGCCCTTTTCTTCTTTAATCGAGTAGGCAACGCAATTTAAAAAAAAAAAACGATGATCCATGTCATAACATTTTGTGTAGTTTTTGATAATCTAATTTTGAATATATTTATATAAACATAGAAATATCTTTCTAGTAATTAACGAGCTATATTGGCAGCCAAAAACATTGATGTAAATGAATTAAATTTCAAAATTCAAGAACAAATTACAGGCGAATCAGTTGATTCGGCAACTAACCAAGACGATCCGCCGGAGTTTTTAAACTCGCTGGATTTGCTAGGATTGTCACCTCACAATCTTCAATTAAAGGTTGGATCTGCAATTATAATGTTGCAAAATATCGACCAACTATATTCAAAGGATAGTATAAAGCAGAAGATGTTCTCGCACCATGCATCCCAATGCGTTTCCAGTGCGTTTATGGTATCATTAAGTGTTTGTGGTATTAATTTAGAAAACCCATGTTTCTCACATGGATGATTGTATGTTGTTTGTTCCCGTATTAGAAAACCATCAGATTTGTTTGTCTATGCGCCAGGTAATCAAACAAAAAACATCGTTTATCACAAAGCACTACAATGAAAATTGAACTGATTTTTGAATTATGATTTACATTATTAAAATTACTTACTATTAAATGCTTATAGTGTTTTATTTAATTATTTTTAATTCACACCGAATTATTACCAGGGTGACGGTTCTGTTCAGGATTATTTTTTGCAAAGAATAGAAAAAAGATAGGCACAAAACACCGCCACATTACAATTTTTTTTGACAGGACGAAGTCTGTCGGGCCGGCTAGTAAAAACATAAAAATGAGTGCGCGTAAGTTACACGAGCGATTGAAGTAAAAACTTTTTTTGCTGTTGTACAAATTTCTTAAGAAGTTGTTGGAGAATTATTTTTTGTTGGGTTTAGTTAATACTCTGAAAAACCAATCAATGTTCAAGATTTTTCCAAATGAAACTTGACATTGCAATCCACCATATCCACCATACATTCCTGACCCTGCACCTTCTAATTAATTGTTGTTTCAATTTTACTAAACTCCTTGAATGGTAAACAATTCAATTACATGAGCGATAGAAGTGAAAACTTCTATGAAAAAAAAAATTGCTGTGCATTATTTTGAAGACAAATAATTATTGTACAAGATGACAAAGTTAAAAATGAGTTCATTCATCACATAAGAATTTTAAATATCGTTTATTGGTAAAACTAGTAATACCGACATTTATTAATGCCAGTCACTGTACTGATATTTTATAACAATAAATTAATTACTGTCATACTTTAAATATGGCATTATTGGTTTGAGAAAACTGAAACGAGAGAAATTCAGTCAGCAAATTGTACAAATTTCTTAAGAAAGCTGCATGAATAGAAGTGCATGAATATGTCGTAGTTGGAGAATTATTCTTTGTTAGGTTTAGTTTATCATATGAAAAACCAATCAATGTTCAAGATTTTTCCCTTGTTGACATTGGAATCCACCATATCCACCATACAGTCCTGACCCTGCACTTGAAGCATTAGTAATACCTATATCTATTATTGCCAGCAACTATACTGATATTTTATAACAATAAATTAATTATTATCATACTTTAAATATTAATTGATTTAAATTAATAATTTAATTTAATTTAAATTAAATATTGATTGATTTGAGAAAACTGAAACGAGAGAAATTCAGTCACCAATTTGTACAAATTTCTTAAGAAAGCTGCATGATTAGAAGTGCCACATGTCATTGTTGGAGAATTATTCTATGTTGGGTTTCATCTGAAAAACCAATCAATGTTCAAGATTTTTCCAAATAAAACTTGACATTGGAATCTCTAGCAAGATATAGTACAATCTCATTGCAGTTATTATTTTAAAGAGATGAAACTATCATTAGAAATATTGAGTAATTGCTAATGAGTAGATTTTATAATTTTCGATGTAGTTTTATAACCTCCTACGAATATGTTTATCGAGAGGATCGCGAGTCAAAGATATCAAGCGACAACATCTTCTCGACCAATCATATCAACTCTTTTCGAATGAACACATCGATAGCCAATGAAAAATTATTTGTGGCGAAACGTTACGGTATTTGTGGCGAAACGCACTTCCGTTGCATTTTAGCTGAGTTACCGACTAGTAGGGCATAAAAAATTTTTACATAAAAAATTTAAATCTATAATATAAAAATGAATTGCAAAATGTGTTGGTAAGCGCATAACTCAACAACGCCTGGATCAATTTCGCCAATTATTTTTTTAAAATGTTCGTTGAAGTTCAAGAATGGTTCTTACGGAGAGAAAAAATCGAATAATTGGCGGGAAAACCCTATAAACAGACCTTTTTTCTTCACATACAAACCTTTTCTAACTAAAACGTAGTAACAATTTGAGCTTTAATTTTTTTATAATGCGTAAATAAATAAGGTGAATTAGAGAATTCAGTCATTGAAGAATGGACTAGCAAATGACGCATAAAAATTAATGATAATAAATCAACTCATGTAATATTCACACTCAACAAATCTTCTTGCCCAGCAGTTCAATTTCGTGATAAGACAATTCCAGTTAAACACTCAACAAAATATCTCGGGATGAGATTAGATAGCAAACTAACCTGGAAGCAACACATACTTTCAAAAATAGCTCTAGTAAAACATAGAGCAAAGGAACTCTACTGGCTCATAGGTAACAAATCCAAATTACCTATTGAAAGCAAGCTACTAATATATAAAACAATAATAAAGCCGACATGGACCTGCGGTGTGGAATTATGGTAATGTGCAAGAAAATCTCACATTGATTCAATTCTACGAGCTCAATCAAAAATTCTGAGGCAGATCGTAAACGCTCCATGGTATGTCAGTAACAAAATTATTTATGACGACTTGAACATACCATTTGTGAAAGATGTAATTACCAGTACCAGTCATCGCCATTTTGAGAAATTGGAATCCCATCCCAATGAAATAGTTAAACATCTTCTTCAAGAACCCCGATCTAGGAGGCTCAAAAGAAAAGTTCCAATTGATTTGAAGATTGATCAATAAAGACCAGGCACAACCCTTGATATTTACCTCAGTCAGATTAGTTGACCATTGAATGGAGTGGCACCTATTGTAATTTTTAAAATTCAGCCAAATTATTTATATGTGTGTGTATGACTGAGTATGAGTATGTTTGCTCTGTGAGTGAGTTCAAACATAAGCACAATAGCTCATAGAATTTTGTAAATTCTGATTGCTGTTAAATAAAATATATATAAAAAAAATAATTAGAGAATTTATAAAGATAAACTGGTGGACAGGTAAATTGGAGGAAATGTAAAAAGGTAGAGAGAACTGGTAGATAGACGAATATGTAGACAAATAAACAGGTTGACAGGTTAATTTAGACAAACTGTTAAACAGGTAAATTATTGAAAATATTTGGTAGACATTTAGAACGGGATGACAGGTCAATTGGAAAGAAGGTAAATTCGTTAACAGGTAAAATGGTGTATTGATAAACAGGTCAAAAGGTAAATAAGTTGACAGTTAAATTGGTAAGCCGGTAAAATGGTAGATTGATTAGTAGACAAACCGATTAGTTGATTTATAAGCAAATTGTTGAATAGGTAAATTGTTGAACAGATAGTATTTTATTGTAACTAAATGTGACAAATACACATCTTTGTTCAAATTTTTAATTTAAACTAAATCACGGCAAAGCGTGAACGGGAACAGCTAGTATAATTCATAAATATATTTCAGGTCGACATATATTCCTTGGGAATTATTTTATTCGAAATGATTTATCCATTTAAATCTATGATGGAAAGAGCAAAGGTGTTGCAAGGATTGCGCTTACCGACTATCTTAATGCCCACTGATGTTCCTGAACGATTTCAGCAGCAAATTCCGCTGATTAAGTATGTATTTCTTATTATATTCTTAAACATTATAACATTGTATAAACGCTTTAACAGATTTATTTATATATATATATATATATATATATATATATATATATATATATGTACTAGCAAACTCGACGAACTCCGTTTCGCCACCAGATGGTTTCGTGAGAAAGATGAAGAATTTTTTTGTTTTATATTTGAAAAGGAAAAACTTGATTTTATTACACAACAGTAATGAATTTATTTCGATTACAAAAATGTATTGTTTTTTAGTTGAACTTACTAACAGATAACTCCTATCCCATAGGATAGAACTAAATTCTAACAGATAACTCCTATCCGTTAAAACTTATAAACTCCGTAACCAGTAACAGAGGAACATACCTTTTGAATAAAATGGACAATTCAACAGCACAAAACGATTTACCTGGCTCAGAAACTCACTCTGGTGTAATTTGTTTGCAATACATTAAAGAATTGTAGGTTCCTTGGAAAAACTTTTTTATAAATCTGAACTCCGACTTGTAAACAATTTTAGTACAGCGACTAGTACTATTTTTACCAAAACAAAAACCCCTTTAATATTGAACAACTTACGAACCTCGTCTATCAAATTAATTGTCTAGATTGTAATTTAATTTACATAGGAGAAACAAGCCAGAACTTAATGAAACGTTTACAACAACATAAAAATAATTTAAAAAATCCGAAGCAATTTAAAACTATGATAACAGAGCATATTTATACTTTAAAACACAATATGGACTTTTCTAACCCGACTGTACTACAATTCGAATAAAATTTATTCAAACGAAGAATTATTGAAGCATCTTTTTTAACTATTTAATTTAAATACTACTGGTTAGGAATTGAGAAATAAAGATACTAATAGAAAATCTTTACAACCAGCTTGAATGGAATACATTTATAAGTAAAATTATCTCTTGATTACTTATGATAAATTTTATAAATTTATTCTCAACTTTAATTTATCGTTTTTTTTATTTTTTTATTAATATAAATTTTGAGGAAATTTTGATCAATAATATTGATCCAGGTTGATCCATGTTGTTCAAATAATAAGAACCATTGCAAAGCGGGAAACTATTTTTGAAGGCAAAAACATTTGCCAGGTTTGCTAGTATATATATATATATATATATATATATATATATATATATATATTCAATAGATAAGTCTTGGATTTTTTCAATATATGGATTGTTTCTTTTCCGAACAGCAAATCCAATAATAAAAAACAGTTTCTTTTCTCAAGATGTTTAATAACGACGTTTCGGAACTAGGTACGTTCCATCATCAGGTTTATTCTGTCAAATACAATATTTTTTAAAACTATTACATTAATTAATGATGGTCATTACAGATTACTTAGAAGAATTTTTTTATAAAGGAATGGATTATGTACCGGTGTAAAGAGTAATAAACATTAACTAAAAAAGGTTTTATATAAAATTAGGAAGCAAAAATTATTTACCTGTAATAATTTATATATCCATATCACTAATATTTTTTGTTAAAAACACTCGATTTTTTTGGAGGATATTTGTAGATGTTACGACTACACAAGACTTAAGCACACTGATATGGAGTTCTGTCGACCAGATGTAAAGGATATGTACGGAATTTTAGGCAAAAATGATTTTTTATGGTTCTTGTATTAATAATTTACGAAAAAAGAGGAAATATTGCTTTAGCAAATGTTGAGAAATATTATGTATATATATATATACGAGGTGTGTTCAAAAAGTACCCGGAATTACTAATAATTAAATTTCGCGGGTCTGGAGTGTCTGATTGTCAAAATTTTTTTTTTATTGTGTTGGTATACATGCCCCTAAAGTATGATGAAATTTTCAGCTATATTCACTGTTTACTTTGTCTGTGGTAGTCGCTAAGGTTCGACGTGTTTTTCTGAGCTCGGCGATTTTTACAATGGAAGAATTGAAAAGTCAAAGAATTTGTATTAAATTTTGCGTAAAAAATGAAATAAAGTGTTGCAAAGTGCAAAAATTCACCAAATATGGCTCCGTGTGACTTTTTCCTATTCCCAAAGTTGAAGAGACCCATGAAAGGACGGCGGTTTTCCTCGATTGAAGAAAATCGCTGAGAGTGCTCAAGGACATATCAAAAAGTGAATATCAAGGGTGCTTCGAAAATTGGAAAAAACGCTGGCATAAGTGTATTATATCTGGGGGGGACTACTTTGAAGGGGACCACATTAATGTAGACGAATAAATAAATATTTTTTTGAAAAAACGAAAATTCCGGGTACTTTTTGAACAGACCTTGTATATAGATATATATATATATATATATATATATATATATACATGCACATGCATATGCACACTTACATACACTTTATTTTACATTAAATATGCAAAAGCCATCAACAAAAAAATATTTTTATTACGATAAAATTTATTACGTAAAAATGAATGGATTATACCGAATTTCATAACTAATATTATCAACAAACAGTTTTTGCAAACAACTTCAAATATATATAAAATTGAGGGGCAAATATCGTACTTACAAAATTCAGTACTTAAATTAGAAATAAAAAATTCTTTTATTGACATAAAAAATAAATAAAAAACACGAATAGATCAGATAATAAATACACTCCGAAAAACAATAGATGAAAATACTTTTAATAAATTTTTAGAATTCGAAAATACAAAATACGATAAACACTTCCATATTATTAAAAATAAACAAATACAGAAATTAAAAAATCTTATACAAAATAGAGATAAAAATTATCCATTTCCTGTTTCTAAATTTTCGATAGACAAATGGCTAATAAATAAAACCAATATAGTCATTCCAGAAAATATCCAATACATTTTAGCACTCGGTCCAAAATTCAATTTCGCACCTAGTTAATACAGAAATAATGACTTCATAAAAATTTTAAGTAACATAGAACACAATATCAGGAACATTGAGACTGACAAGCAAAATCGGATCAGGTCAAAACTATGTGAAAAACTAGTTAAACATTTAAAAAAAGTTGATAATAGTTTCCAAAGAGATAGCGGAGACCAAATTATTTATTAAATCTAATAATATAATTGTTTGCCAGCAGATAAAGGCAGTATGACGGTAATCCTTGACAAAGAATTTTATACTAACACAACATTACGAATGCTTATAGATGATACTACTTACAAAATCATTACAAATGATCCAACACAACAGTTTTCTAGACAATCATCAATTAAATTAATTAATGAATTAAAAAATAAAAATTTCATTTCTGACAAACTTGCCTATAATTTAAAAGTACAACATCCTACTTCCCCAAAAATGTATTGTCTCCCCAAAGTCCACAAATCTGAATGCTCCTTTAGACCCATTGTATCCTACGTTGGTTCCCCATTCTATAATATCGCCAAACATATTGCCAATATTTTAAAAAATGTCACAATTTCCTCTCCTCACTATGTAAAGAATTCTTACCAATTTGTGGATCTAATCAAAGACCGAAACATTACGGACGATCAAATTTTTCTAAGCCTTGATGTAATTAACCTTTTCACATGTGTTCCCCATGATTTAATACTCGATTCAATTGGAAAACGCTGGCCCACTATTTGTAACTACACCGACTTTCCTATAACTACATTAACACTGTCCTGAATTGTTCTTATTTTAATTGTTTCAATAATTTTTATTTACAAATCAAAGGTACTGCTATGGGATGCCCATTATCTCCTGGCATTGTAGACCTAGTTTTACAAATCCTTGAAATTTCTGTTTTCTCCACATTAAATTTCCGAATATATTTTTATGTTAGATATGTAGATGACACATTTTTTATAATAGATAAAAAACAATTAAATATGATACTCGATACCTTTAACAATTACAATAAGAACATCTACATTCAGTTCTACATTCTGTTAACATTACATTCAGTTCACACATGAAACACAAATCAACAACAAATTGAACTTTTTAGACGTGACTGTACACAAACTTGACAACATTATTTGCACAAATTGGTACAGATAATCTACATGGTCAGGAAAATACATTTATTAACTTCCCGTAGGGTAAGTTATAGTAATCGCAAAAAAATCGAAAATGAAAATTTTTATATATCTTTACGTTTCAGAGGTTTCTTAACATTTTGGCATACCTTAGAAAAAATGGATGTATGTGTGTGTGTGTGTGTGTGTGTATGTGTGTGTGTGTGTGTATGTATGTATGTATGTATGTGTGTGTATGTATGTGCGGATACAAATTTTCGTCGACGATTTCGGGAACACGGGTCAACCGATTTTAATAATTCAAAAAACATTCGATTCGTATTGATAAGGAGACGTGCTGATTAGTTTTTGGCAAAGGCAGGTCCAGCCGTTCTAAAGATACGGGGCAAAAAGTGCCGAAAACGGTAACTCAGTTTTTAAGAGAACGGAGCGTCCGATTTTAATAATTCAAAAAACATTTGACTTGTATTGACAAGATGAAGAATTGATCAAATTTTCATAAAGGCAGGTCTAGCGGTTTCGGAGATCTAACGAAAAAAGTAAAAAAAAATGCCATTTGGCGGTCAAAAATGATCATTAGACATATGCACATCAAATTATCAGATATTTTATAGAGATTTTTACAATAAGTATAATTTTGGTTTACATTCCTAAGGGTTCCGTACCAATGTTTACGCGTTAGACGTCGACGCGGCGCTTACGCGGTTTGATATTTCGTCTTTATGCAGTTAAAGCAGTACGATTGCTTTGAAAAAAAGTTTAGATCTTTCAAAATATGTCAAAATAAAGAAAACATTTTTTTTCAAAAAAAAAAATTAAAAAAAAAAAATAAAAAAAATTTTTTTTTCAAAAAAAAAAGTAATTTTTTGTCTAATTGTTTGTCAAAAATCTTATTTTTTCGAAGTAAATTTTTTTCAAAAATGTTAATCGTTTTTAAAAAAATAATTTTTGGTACGGGAAGTTCCAGCAATTTGCCTTAAGGCACGATGCCTTAATTGCCTTAAGACAGAATTCCACTTACAGCTAGTTATGCGTCATACTGTCCTAAAAATTATAAAGTCAATACAATCATTTCTTTGATAGACCACGCAGTCATGTTGTCTCACTCTTCTTTTCATACCCAAAACACAACATTAGTAACTAAAACTTTATTAGAAAACGGATATCCCCTCACCCTCATCAATTCCATTACCAATAAAAGACTTTCCTATCATAAAAATAACAATTATCAATCCATCTCCAAGTTATTCCAAGACAACAATATTAAACCAACTTTTCACAGCATGCCTTACATTGAAGGCTTATTTGATTATTTTGCCAAATTACTCAAAGAAGAAAATATTTTTATTTCAGGAACAGCTCTATATTCTTTTAAAGAAATGTTTTCAAAAATTAAATCCACCACCCCTCCTAAATTCAATACTAACATAGTCTATTCAATCTCTTGCAAAAATTGTCAAAAACAAATTCACATATTTTTACCTTTGAACCCAATATTTTATATAGAGAGGATTGTACTTTTAAAAGACTTTTTTCTGAAAGCAGTTTAATCTTTTTGAATTCGTCAAATTGTGTCAATAAAAGATCAGATCATAATATCATTCATGACTCGTATCTAAATTTTTTAAACCTAATTAAAAACAATTAATCCTTTAATAATTTTTGCGTATATATATACATGTATATATATATATATATATATATATATATATATATTATATATATATATATATATATATATATTGTATGATTCTGAATTTGATGTTGACATATGTATTAACAAAGTCTAATAATCGGGCATAACATCAATAAAAAACATGAATTTCTTTCAAAAATTTATTTTAAATCCATACGTTTCGGCTATAATCCTAGCCTTCATTCAGTGGAAACTAAAAATAAAATTAAAAACTAAAACAATTGAATTGGAGTGAAAAGAAAAAATAAAATAGTAATTAGTACTTACAATTAGTTGATCTTAGTGTTAATTTGGAAAACTTTAGTAATCCATGGTATTAGGATATGGTAATGCACTACACTATGTATTATAAACATTAACTTGAAATTACACAATATTTTCACAAAATACTGATTTGAAAAAATCACAAATGGATAGTGTGTTATTCGTAGACTGGTTGAAGATGTAATGGAGAAAGATTTTTCTAAAAAATATTTTTACCAAGATTCTGCACATGTGTGGAACGAATTGAAAAACCTTTGCGCGAACGCTTTTATTGTTTTGTAAGAAATTTGGAAATGTTATCTAAATAGAAGAGATTTGTGTCGCACAGCGTGTTGAGTTCATTCCGTTTATTTATTGTCTTATTGTTATAAATAGTTAAAAAAGATCCCTCTATAATTCTTCGTTTAAATAAATTTTGTTCAAATTGTAGTACAGTCGGATTAGAAAAGTCCTTTGCGCGAACGCTTTTATTGTTTTGTAAGAAATTTGGAAATGTTATCTAAATAGAAGAGATTTGTGTCGCACAGCGTGTTGAGTTCATTCCGTTTATTTATTGTCTTATTGTTATAAATAGTTAAAAAAGATCCCTCTATAATTCTTCGTTTAAATAAATTTTGTTCAAATTGTAGTATAGTCGGATTAGAAAAGTCCATATTGTGTTTTAAAGTGTATATATGGTCTGCAAGAACTGTTTTGAATTGTTTGGGGTTTTTTGAATTGTTTTTATGTTGTTGTAACCGTTTATTGAGGTTCTGGCTAGTTTCTCCTATGTAAATTATATATATATATATATATATATATACATAGTATTTCTCTTTTTTCGTAAATTACCAATACAAGAATTATAAAAAATCATTTTTGCCTAAAATTCCGTACATATCCTTTACATCTGGTCGAGAACTCCTATCAGTGTGTTTAAGTCTTATGTAGTCGTAACATCTACAAATATCCTCTAAAAAAATCGAGTGTTTTTAACAAAAAATATTAGTGATATGTATATATATATTATTACAGGTAAATAATTTTTGCTTCTCAATTTTATATAAAACCATTTTTAGTTAATTTTTATTACTTTTTACACCAGTACATAATCCATTCCTTTGTAAAAAAAAAATTCTAATTAATCTGTAATGACCATCATTAATTAATGTTAATCAATAGTTTTAAAAAATATTGTATTTGACAGAATAAACCTGATGATGGAACGTACCTAGTTCCGAAACGTCGTTATTAAACATCTTCAGAAAACAAATTGTTTTTTATTATTGGATTTACTGTTCGGAAAGGAAACAATCAATATATATATATATATATATATATATATATATATATATATATCACATTTTTTATAATGTGATTAATGGTCATCTATTCTGAATTAGTTGGTTATTGAATCATGATGCTTTACAAAGACCTTCTTCATCTGAGCTACTTGTGAGTGATTTGGTGCCGCCCGTTCGACTGGAAGATCGTAATTTGTTTGAAATGATAAAACTCGTGTTAAACAATCCGAAGGTATATTTCAATATTATTACGGTGAAAGTAATATAAAAATAAAATAAAAACTTATATTAGGGCAAGCCTTATAAACATCTCGTAGTAAAATGTCTGGAACAAAGAAATGACGAATCTTTAGATATTACATATCATGTAGATGAAAATTCAAAAAATCTATCAGCCCAATGGATTGTGAAAAAAATCATAACAGAGGTATGTAAAGTTATTTAATATTTGCCAATAATATATATTTGATGATCATTTTTAAAAAAGGTTTTCCAAAAGCACGGTGCGATAGATGTTTCAACGCCGCTCTTAACCCCTGCAAATTTGGATAATGATCTACAAGATTCCTATGTGAAGCTAATGACACACAACGGATGTGTCGTTATACTGCCAGCAAATTTGAGGTAAGTCTTGCGATATTTTCAAAATAATATCTTTTAACGTTCAAAATTTCAATTTTATATTAGGTAATCTGATTTAAAAAATTGATTATAATATAATGTAATGACAGAATTACTCATCAATGTGAGGCAAATTTTTGTCGAGGGTCAAATTATTGAAAATATTACTAAATTAAATAAAATTGAAACTTGCACGCAACTTATATGCGTATTTTTTGCAAAATGTGTGTACTTTTCAAGCAATGTTTATTATTTTGAACAGACACGTGTTTGCCCGATATGCAGCATTTTGTGATTTAAGAAGTATCAGGCGTTTTGCAATTTCGCATGTGTACTCCGAAAGACGTGTGTTCGGATTTCACCCCCGTCAGAATCTTGAATGTGCAATGGACATATTAATGCCAGTATCGACTGAACAAGACTTTGGTACGTAAATATTTTTAATTTTACATTATCTTCACGTCCACCAATGCCAGTAAAAATTGCCGATGATAATTTATCATATTTACAATACATCTTGATATCGTGTCTTTTAAACAGATTTTTTTCGTGGATGCTATAGATGTTTTGTATACGGTTGAAGATAATTATTTGGATTAAATTTCGTAACTAATTCGTTTTTTGTTTGGAGCATTATTAAATGAGGAAACCACATCGATACTTTATTAGTTCGTGCTTATTTGGATATTGAAGTTTGGTCAGCATTTTATAAACATTTCAAATATATTTTTTTATATTTTTATAAAAAGTCACGATTTTAAGCATTTCGGTACATTATATCTTGGATTTAACAACTTCAATTGCATTCTAAATTCAATCCCTTCAATGATTTGCATTGAATGATATTCTTTTGTAATCATCCTGACCAATTGTGCATCTATTTCAGCAATTTGGCGCATGGGTGAAGGATTAGTATTTTGCAAATAATTTCTGATAACATTAGAATTATTTTTCATTGTATTAGATGGATTTGAATCTGATGTACCAGCTTCTGAAGTTTTTAACGCAAAAATATTATCCAATAATACAGTCGCGATTGCTTGATTAATCGGTATAGTTCAAATGCCTTATTAAATTTCCAGTATTTGAAAATAAAATACTTAAAAAATCCGCACAATAATTGAATTTTGCTTTATTATCTTTAAGGAAAAATGATTCCAGATAGTACTGGTTTTACGTCTCATTGTCATTTCTCTAATCACTTGCAATCACTGATTTTGTTATACACAGAATATACACATTAACACAAAAGTTTATTATTTGATTGCTTGGTACCTTGCAAAATATTGAAAAAAACTATTGCTATCGTCCTTTCTACGCCCGCTCTTCTCAGGACTTCTTCATTTGTTATTTTCCACTTTATTTTCTCTCGAGGTAGTTCTTATCGGCCTTTCTTAGAGTCCATGTCTCCGATCCGTACAGAGCTATGCTCCAGACGTAGCACTTTATTAGTCTCTCCCGCAAGTCGCGGCTCGGTTTGCTCGTCAGTGACATTCTCTTCTTCGTGAATGCCGCCTTGGTCCTTGCGATCCTTGTCCTGATCTCTTTCGTGCAGCATTTGTTTTTGGTCAATATGCTTCTCAGGTATTTGAAGTGATCCACGTCTTACAATTCTCGATTTTCTACCGTTATACTCAGGGGATTATTTATTTTTGTGATTCTCATCACTTTCGACTTGTCTATGTTGATTTCCATTTCTTATCTTCTACCCACTTCGACGATTCTGCTCATCATGTTTTGCAGCTACGTTTGGTTTTTTGATATCACTACTAGATCATCAGCGTACTTTATGGTGGTGATTTTTCTTCCTCCAATCGAAAAATCTCCTGCGCCTTCTAGTGCCTCGTTGACGAGCCATTCTCCGTACAGGTTGAATAGGATCGGTGACGTACAGCATTTATTTATTTATTTATTTATTTATTTATTCATAAGCAAGCCGTAATCAATAATAATAGATATTATTTCAGGCTCTTGTCAAGCTTATTCATAGTTAATATTAAAAGGATAGTAATTTTATAATAACCATAGTAGCTGCACGAATTTCGCTTCTGAAAAAAAAGAGCTGAAAAAATGCATTCGAACATTAAATACAATGTTCATCATCAAGTTCATCATATTAAAGTCTATTTGACCACCAGTCAAGCTCAAAATTCTTGCACAAGGTTGAATGTTATACTCATTTAAAACCGTAAAAAAATTAAATTAATAAAATAGCAATAAAAAAAAGAAAAAAAAAAATGGTTGTACAGGCGATCAAATGGTCAGACTACATAGATAAAGGATAAGGATTATGCAAGAAAATAGTTATTGAAATCAAATTGAGAAAATTCAGTAATGTCATAAAAAGCTAAGTCTTTAAAAAGTTTAACTAGGGAAGCATGAAATTTTTTGCTGTCTAAGTTTCGGATATTGAGTGGAAGTTTATTCATAAGCTGAATGCCTAGACCGTCGATCGTATTGAAAGAGCTGGCTAATTTATATGTGCGCGCCTTAATAAGTTTGTGTCTAGTGTTATAGTTTGAGGAGGACGAAGCCATATCAAAAAGTTTCGAATTGTTTTTGATGAAAGTTAATGTTACCAGCAGAAAAATGCATGGGACAGTTAGAATATTGTATTTTTTAAATATGGGTCTGCAGGAGGCTTTACTGGGCAAGGAAAAAATTATTCGAATAGCTCTTTTCTGAAGCTTAAATATTTTAATTAGTTCGGATGAAAAACCCCAGAATTGAATGCCGTATGAAACGTGAGAATAAAAGTTGCTATAATAAACTGAAAGTAAGCAATTTAAACCAAGTTTGGGTTTTAGGGTGCGCAACATGAAACATGTTCTAGATAAAGTTGGTGATAGAGAGATAAAGATATGATCAGACCACTTTAAATTATTATTAATATGGATGCCAAGAAACTTTGATACTTGCGAAAAATTATATGCTGAATTATTGATGGTTAAAGAAGTAATATTATTGGATAAACGATTTTTTGTACAAAAAGATATGATTTGGGTCTTATCATTATTGAGAACTAGATTATTTTCACAAAACCATTTCGTTATTTCTGACATAACCACGCTTAATTTATGTTGTAATTCATTAAGAGATTTGGCCTTGATGATAACGCTGGTATCATCCGCAAAAAGTATAAAATCACAAAGATTTGTACAATGAGGTAAATCATTAATATATATGAGAAATAAGAGAGGCCCTAAAATTGATCCTTGGGGCACGCCCAATGTACTTGTCAATTTATCCGAAATTATTTGCTCGTGATTGTTATTTAAGTAAACGCTTTGTGTTCGATTAGACAGGTAAGATTCAAATAGTTTGAGAGAACGTCCGCGAATACCACAATTTTCTAATTTGTCAAGAAGTCTTTGATGAGAAATACTATCGAAAGCTTTGGACAGATCGCAAAATATCGCAGTACAATATGTGGCTTCTTCGAAGGAGTCAATGATGTTATGAACTAAATTATAAATTGAGTGGGAAGTAGAATGGTTCTTTCGGAAACCATGCTGATTCTTGAACAAAATATTATATTTATTGAGAAAAGACGTTAACCTAGTATGCAAGATTTTTTCAATTATTTTATCGAAAGAGTTCAAGAGGGAAATGGGACGGTAATTATTTATATCGTCTTTATTATTTTTCTTATGAAGTGGAAAAATCTATGAATGCTTGAGGTGGGATGGAAATATTCCTTCATCGAAGCATTTATTTAAATATAACATAAATTTATCTATGAAAAAGGGATAGAATTCTTTAAGAATAAGACTAGGTATCTGATCCGGACCCGCTGAACTAGTAACTTTTATCGATAGAAAGGTTTGCTTTAGTTCTTCTAAATTTACAGGATAAAGAACGAATGTAGAATTATTTCGCGCGGATAAAGATTTAGTCGAACTAGTGGTGATCGAGTTGATTGCGCTTGTTAATTTAGACGCTTCGGTGACAAAAAAGTGATTAAATTTATTAGATATGACTACCTTATCAATAATCTTGTCGCCGTTAATTGTAAGACAATCAATCTGTGAAGATTTAGTTTTCGTGTTGATTTCCGAGTTAATTAAGGACCAAATTGTTTTCTGTTTATTTGCAGAATTAAAAATCAAGTTTTCGTTGAATTTGATCTTCGCTAAATTGATTAGATCATTTAAAGTTGCCCTATATTTCAAAAAATAAATTATAAAAGCCATGTTATTATTATGTACCGATAATCTCTCAAGAAATGCTAATCTTTTGAGTGAAATTCTCAACCCTTTAGTTAGCCAAGGAGTTGAAGTATTATTTTTTGGGCAAACGGTTTTCTTAATGAGAGGAAAAGCTTGATTGAAGTTGAATAAAAATGTAGAAATAAAGTTGTCGAGCATTGTATTTGAGTCTTTGGACTTGTTAAGCAATGTCCATGATTCCTTTTCCAAAAGACATTTGAAAATCAATTTATTAGATTCATCAAAATAACGTTTGTGTAAGATAAAGGTAGATTTAGAAGTTGAAAAATTACAAAAATTTAATAATATGCCTCGATGGTCTGAAAGAGTGGTATTTATAACACGTGAATCAAAGTCTTTTAAATTGGTGAAGAAATTATCAATGCAAGAAGAAGATTGATGCGAAAAACGAGTAGGTTCATGTATAGTACGAGTTAAACCAAAAGACTGCATATTCAAATTGAATTCAATGGATGGCTTCGATTGCTTATCAAAGTGTATATTAAAATCGCCGCAAACAATGATTTTGGAATATTTATCAAAAAGGTTATGAATCAATTCGTACATCAGCGAGATGAACATATCAACATTCTGGTCAGGTGATCCATAAACGCATATAAGACACACGACGTCATTTGAGAGATTAATTTCAACAGCACAATATTCAAAAAGTTTTTCTACTCGAAGAGTATTAGTATAAACGGGTTTAGAACAAATAAAATCACTTACAAAAATGCACACACCTCCGTGGCCATATTGAGTTCGACAGAAATGAGAAGATAAATTATAACCTTTAATTTTAATTAATTCAAGATCCGACTTATTTAACCAGTGTTCAGCAAAACATAATATTTGGGGTTTATAATTATCTATAACTACTTCTAATTGATTAAGTTTATTGGATAGTTTTTGTATGTTTTGAAAAATAATTGCAAATTTGTTATCAACTTTAGGCACGAAAGGAATTAGAAACCGAAGGTTTCATTCCCGCCACAGCCTTGACACTCAACAACTCGTTAGCTAAAACCCTACATAATTTTCTTTTCCCGTTGAAAAGAAAATGTAAGCCATGCCTGGTGTAATCGGACAAACCAACATGCCTGTTGACATCAAGAATCCGAAGATTACTGAACTTTCCTTGACCATAGTCTCGGTTGATCCAGCAATTGGCATCGGAAATCAGCCCGTTGCAACGCACGTCGTCGTATCTGTACGGAA